CGCCAACTCAAGATTACGCACAATATGCAGGGTGGGAGACCTTCTTGCCGATGATGGAGTGTTGACCAGCAGTAACGAAGGGAAGACCAATGTCCTCTGTAAATTATTCGCCAGTGTTTTCACGGACGAAGGGACTAGTGCCATGCCTGTGCTGCCGTGCAACTTAACTGGACCTTTTCTGGATGACGTGGACATCTCTAGCCAGACAGTGGTAAAGACATTGACTGCTCTGAAGACCTCGAGCGCCCCTGGGCCAGACGATGTCCACCCAAGGCTTATTTGTGAGTCCGCAGATGTCCTGGCAGCGCCCTTCAGCATGCTTTTCCGAAAATCTTTGGCATCCGAAAGGCTCTCCCAGGAGTGGAAGCTTGGCGAGGTAGTCCCGATCTTGAAGAAAGGCATCCGACAGTCTCCAGCGAGCTACCACCCAGTGACTCTTACTGCCATTCCCTCCAAGATACTCGAAACTTTCGTCCGTGATGCCCTACTTCATCACTTCTTGGAGTTTGGACTTTTTCATGCAGCCCAGCATGGGTTTCTCCCTAAGCGGTCCTATATCACCCTTCTATTAGAGGTCATGGAAGATTGGAGCCCCGCAGTAGAGGATGGAGAGCCAGTGGACGTGGCGTACCTGAATTTCAGCAAAGTCTTTGATTCTGTGCCTCATAACCGTCTGCTCTCCAAGCTTCATGTTTACGGTGTGAGATGCAATTTCCTATGCTGGATTAGGGTTTGTCTTATTCACAGGATGCAGAGAGTGCGGATCTGGGGCTCGAAGTCGGACTGGACCGACGTCGTCAGCGGCATCCCGCAAGGATCAGTGCTTGGACCAAGGCTGTTCATAATTTTCGTGAACGATCTGCCAGAACAAGTGCAAAGCGTGGTCAAGATGTTCGCGGATGACATCAATGTCTACTGTCGTGTCCCGAGGCCCCTGACTAACTCACCTCTGCAGGTTGACCTCGACGCCCTGGTCAAGTGGTCAAGGAAGTGGCTGCTTCCCTTCAGTGCAGCAAAGTCTAAAATAATGCACATCGGGAACTGAAACCTGAGGCTCACCTACTTCTTGGACGCCACCGAAATCGCGGTCGAGTCCACCGAGAAAGACCTCAGGATCTTCTTGGATTACCGGCTCCAGTTCCACGTGCAGACGGCGGAAGCGATCTCCAAGGCCAACCAGATGCTGGCGGTCGTGAGGTGGTCTTTTGCCAATACTCTGCTGCTCGCACGTTGTCATTGCTCTTCAAGATCTCAGTGCGTCCGTACTTAGAGCGCGGCGACGTCATCTGGGGCCCGTTAGGCAAACTGGACCAGAAGCGGCTGGAGCGGGTTCAGCGACGAGCTACCCGGCTTGTCTATGAATTAAGTCGCCAGCCATACCCTGAGAGGCTCAGACTCTCAGACCGTTGCCCTCGCTGTACTACCGTCGTCGCAGGGAAGGCATGGTAACAGTGTACCAGCTGTTTCACGGAGGTTTGTCGCTGTCGGAAGAGGAGTTCCTGACAAGGCACAACTCGAAGGTGACAAGAGGACACCAATGGAAGCTCAGAAAACCTCGAGCTAGGACTCTCGTCCGTCGTAACTCGTTCAGCACGCGGGTTGTCAGCGTTTGGAACGCTCTTCCATACGCGGTCGTATCGTCAGCCTCAGTTGAACAGTTGCACGGGGTTGATAGGCTTGATAGGCTTGATAGGCTTCTAGGCTTGATATGCACGGGGCTGACATCATGTGTGACGTCCCGCACTAAATCTATTCATAATTTAAGACTGTTCGGTTACCGGACCGGGAGCCTGACGAGACCAGGACCTTCAGGCTTAGTGGCCTTTTAAAATCCCCGAGCACTATAAGGTAAAGTAGGTAAGGTATGCCAGCGTGTTTATTTTCCTGGGTGACTGTGCTGTTTGTTTCAGAAACAAAAAAGTATATAAGAGAAACAATAAAAATGTATCAAAGTCCCTTTTCCGCCGTCGTTTACACCAGGTCATCTGTCAAACAAGCAAAAGGGTTCACTAGCTACACTAGCGGCCGCGCAGCGAGGCGGCGCCACTTGCCGGTAGTTCTCGTCGCTGCGCCATCTATCGACGCTCCACGGGGCCATCTATGGAGCACGCAGACGCAATCTATGTGCACACAACGCGCTGCCCTTGCTACCCGACATTGCTGGTGCGTCATTGGGCCTTTGCGGCGCAATCAGCTGCTGAAGCTACATGGCGCCGCCTCGGGGAAAAAACCCGTACCTTTGGTTTCCCAGACGCGCAGTGGTTAAAGCAGGCGCGCTGGTCACTAAGATGTCGGCAACCGGCGCGCAGGTTGAAACCTCTTAATTGTATTTGTCTCTCTATTCTATTCTACAAAAGAATGAATGTTCTCCTGCAGACATGGGATAGCCTCGTGATTTCTGAACTCATTGAACTCACTCATTCGACACACTCAATTTGACGCCAATGAGACGTATTTCTTTTCGGGAAAGGCGCCTCTTCAGTACAACATTAGGGACGCGTCACCGTTCCCAGGAAAGGGCTGGAGGATCATTTCGTCCCACCGCGGTGTGTCTCCCGGCCGTCATTCTGGTGACACGGGGCGGGATCCCCTAGCCGATCCGGAGGCCCTTGGAGAAATACACCATAGCACATTGGTTCGCTTCCTGACGCGGGAGGCCTTCTGAACCGCATAGTTGACCCCGAATCGACGCAGGAGCTGTCACTGACGCAACAACATCCCTGATCGCCGCAGGTGATGAAATGATTGGCACATAGACTTCAGTTTGACTTATCGGGCTCATGCTGGCATTGAATTGCGGCACCCACTGTCCGGAATTGGGGGCACTGACTGGTACAGGACCCTTCCATTGTCCCGATGTAAGCACTTACCATAAGTTAGAATGTTTGCTTTCATTGTCAGAGGGCCCCAATCAACGCAAAAGGTCCTCTGCCATTCGGGTCCCCGTCCCCGTCCCTGCTAAGCAAATATTCTGACCGCTTCGAGGCCCCCTGTTGACGCAGAATACTCTGTTAGGCCGTATGAGCCCCTGAACGCTACGGGAGCGCCGGTCAATGTAGGTCGCACACCCGGCCTGTCCCTGATCGGGAAATGGGCCCACAGAGCTTAGACCAACACGGATCCGACTGTTCGTTGTGGTGATCTCTGGTCAAAATAGAGGAACGCGCCGCCTCAGGAGTCCCTGTCGGTGCAAAAGGTCCTCTTACTGGTATTTGAGACCACGGTCCCATGGGTGGGGTCTTTAATACGATCTACAGCCAGCCCTTCGGACCCTTCGGCCTTCCCATCAGGTCCTTGATCTCTGGTCTCGAGAGACCCTTCGGGCCGTCTTCAGACCCCCTCAAACATCGCTCCGACTCGGGGCCACTTGCCACCACAGGACCCTTGTTAGGCATTGTGGTCTTAGACGAACACGGATGCCCTTCGTTTTGTCAGGTACCCCAAATATTGAAAATAGTGGGCCCCAGCCTCGTTCCTGCTCGAGAAATAGGTCTCAAGGTCTCAGAGGAACATGGAGCCGACTGTTCGGCGTTCGTGGTCTCTGGCCGACTTAGATACCCGCATTGTGTCAGAGCCTCCTGAAGTGGTGCAAGAGGTCCTCTGACAGATATTTCAAGTCCACGATTATTCATGTGACCTACAGCCAGTCCTTCGGCCCTTATGCCCTCTGTACTGAGACGCCAAGTATTTCACCACACCTTCTCTGTATTTTGGTCTCGCACCACAGCAGTCCCTGACGGTGCACCTAACCTCTCCACCCTCCCCACGGCGACTCCCGACAGCGGGGGCCGCGAGCCGGGGCCGTGCGAACTGCGACGGCGGCGCGCATCTGCCGCGCGGCCGGGGCCGGCCTGCGAACCTGACCACGTGCCGCGCCCCGCCCCAGCAGCGGCGCAGGACACAACGTACAACTGCGCTACGAACACCTTCCGATCGGGCCTTTGATCTTCGGTTCCGGTGCGCCTCCCAGGCCTCTCTTCAGGCCACATGAAACACTTCCCTTGGTCGTCTCGGGGCCCTTGTGAGGACAGAACCATCAGCTGGGCGCTGTAGACCCCTGGCGATAGAAGGTCCCCAACCAGTTATTTCACTGGCCCCGGCTTTATAGGTGATTGGGAAGTGAGCCCTCAGCCCGATACTGCTGCGCAGTACTGGTGGTGCATGACCGATATATAGGCCCATATCGACTCGGTGGGGCCAATCAGATCGGCGCAAAGGACCCTCTGACTGTGATTTGAGGGCCCGTCGCTGCAGGCCGGGCCCATAAACTCCGACTTCGACCAGCCCTTCGTGCCCTGAGACCCTCTACAGGGCCCTTGATCGTCGGACCCAATGGGCCCTCTAGGCCCTTCGGGCCTCCTCGAGCACTATTTCTGGCTGACTCGGGGCCTGTTGCCAACAAAAGGCCCTGTTAGTGGCTATGAGGCCCTGACATACGCTGGGGCCCGCCTAATGAAATCGCTGGCTCCCGCCGGGGCCCACTGAATACGACCTCCGGTCGGCCTTTCGGGCTGTGAAATCAGGTCTTTAATCGATGTTCCGAGTGACCGAAGGGCCCCTCGGAACCTAAGGGGGACATAAGTGCCCCCTGTGCCCCCTGCCTGTGCTATTGCTGTGCGGTGATGCGGCTGATCCGCGCCCGTGCGTTGGATACAGGGATGTGGCGGTGAAGCTGAGAAGAAAGGTGAAGAATGGTGAAGATGGACCATGGCCTGTTACGCCTGATGTAAGTCACATACCGGTGATATCACGTAGTCAGACAATGCGTTATGACCTTCATTCGGCCCAAAAAAACGTATAAACCCATGATCAGTGATCTGTCACGTGCCGGTGATCCGTCAGAGCCTTTGTGTTGAATCGATTTAAACCCGTTCTCAATGACGTCACAATGCCAGCTGATGCCTCACAGCCTTTATTAAGCGCGACAGTACACACATCTTGCAGCCAGTGCATCTCTTCCATCCGTCGGTGGTGCAGGTTGGGAACGTAAAAAAGCATCATTTGGTATATTTCGGGAGATATGTTCAGGACAAATTTCTTCTGCTCAGCCAACCAGTTTGCTTTAGAAAGTTCCAGCGATCATTATCTCAGAGTCGGGCTCATCAACTCTGACTGGTAAACGTCAGAGTGTGAGGGAAGCCTGTTTCAAGCACCTGAGGTGCCAGCCGTTTATTAGAAAAGTGGGGCATTGTGATGTGTTTTTCGGCATTTGCAATGTATTTAGCCAGGAAGTTGTGGTTGCAGAATGGAGGAGTGCATGTGCATTTTGTCATTTTTGTACTTAAAAAGTCAGATTCATGGTTGAAACAAGTAAGTTGCTGATCCAAATAGCTTTATTGGTTAGAGCCTCTGCTTTCTGATCCACCCACCTGCGGTAGGGTGAGTTTAAGTCAATTTAGGTATCTAATGAATATGTGGTTTGGCCTTCAAAGGATGACCTGCAGCACATGGGAAACAGGAGCCATGCTTACCAACTTAATGTAGATGTGTATATGAATGGAATGGTGTTGTGTAAAAGGAATCAGCACTAAGTGTACAGCCAGGGCTTTGGCAAGGGGGTCATGGGCTTGACAAAGGCCCCTGTGGTAGTGAAAGGGCACCCAAAAAAATTTGGACATGGCGCATTTGTTGATGAGAGTGTGTTTTTCTTTTATACTTTACTTAGATCCTTTTATAGCTTGAATAGAAGCTAGATGCCACTGCAGGACAAATCATGCCTGAAGTCTATTTTAAATAAACTGAAAAATTATCAATGGACAGAACTCAGGAACTGTTGGAGTTGTTATCTGGGTTGTGTAGAGATATCAAGGACCATGCAAATGTAGATTAAAGATTAAATGGGTGAATGATTTGTATGAATGTGGTATAGCCATGTTGGTCTGGCAATGTTCAACATTCAGTCAGAAATTATGAGTATACAAATTATGTGACATGGTTTTAAGCATGCACTCTTGCATATCTTTGCAAGAAAAGCCTCAATGCCAGGCGTTGCAGTCTCCATAGGCTCTGCCATGTTGGTCCAATGATTATCACTGGACTGTGGCAAAAAATCAATATGATAATAACATAATAATTGACATAAGTATCCTTAAGTGTCTTAGGATGTACAATAATTCATTTAGAGATATTCACATTGGGTTATATTTTAACTCTGGCAGTTTTTAGATTGATTACAATAATGGATTGGCCTTTACAGCACCACAAAATAGGCATGGAATATTGAGGTGGAGCTGGAAAGTTGCAGGTAGAATCTCTGTTTTCCAAATCACTGTAACTCTTAATCTTTCCAGAGGACAACCTCAAAGTTGTAAACAAATTCACTCAGTCTCATCTTTGAACAGTACAAATTCATTTTGAAAGACATTCAGGTTTTCCGACGGTCGCTTTCGCACGCACGGTGCTGCCGCTTGGCGTCACTTGCAGTGGCCAATGCCATTGGGGTTTACGGAAACTGCAACACAGGCCATGGCTGTCCTTGCTTCCGAGATCGCCGGCGTGTTATTTGGGCTATGTGGTGCACTGAGCTGCTGAGGCTTTGTGACATTGCCTGTCTCTCATCCTGGCAGGAAGGGCGGGCGCGGCAGGGAATCCAACCCGGTAGCATTGGTTTGCCAGATGCGAGTGACAAACACAGGCGTGTTAACCACCACACTAAGGGCACTCGGCGCGCAGGCTCGAACCTTTTGATATTTGTTCGACTCGTCGATTCTGCAAAAGAATGAACGTTCCCAGGCAAACGTGGGATGGTCTTGTGCGTTTTCGAACCCATTTCTGTCCATGCCATTCAACACTTTTGGGACTCCCTATTTCTTTCCAGGAAAGGGGCTGTTCGAATAAAACATTACTGAATGCTTTATTGTTCCCGGTTAAGGGCTGAAGGGCCATTCTGTCCCACCGCAGTGTGTCTTCCATCTGTCATTCTGACGACACGGGCTGGATCCCCGGCCTATCCGGAGGCCCTTAGAAGATACATCATATCGCATTGGCCCACTCCCTGACGCGGGAGGCCTTCTGAGTCGTGCTCTTGACCACAGCTCGACGTAAGCGGTAGGAATCCTCACTGACGCAACAACATCCCTGATCGCCGCAGGTAGTCAAGGAATTGGCACACACTCTAGTTTCGTTTAACGGGCCCATGCTGGAATTGGGTGGGAGGGTCCACCGTTCGGTACCTGGGGCCCTGACTGGTCCTGGACCCTTCCATTGCCTTAATAAGAGCACTCGTCCGAAGTTATCACGTTTCCTTGCCTTTTCCGGTTCGAGGCCCCTTGTTGACACAGAATACCCCATTAGGCACTGTGGGCCCCGGAACGATACAGGAGCGCCGACCACTGTAAATCGCTGGTCCAGCCATGTCCCTGCTCGGGAAATGGCCCACAGAGCTCAGACCAACACAGATCCGACTGTCCGTTGTGGTGGTCCCTGGCCGAAGTAAGGAACGCGCTGTCTCAGGGGTCCCTATCGGTGCAAGAAGTACTCTTTCTGACTTTTGAGATCACGGCCCCATGGTCGGAGGTCCTTGATATAACCTATAACTAGCCCTTCGCATCATTCAGCCTTCGAATTGGGCCCTTGATCTTTGGTCTCTAGAGACCCTTCGGCTCCTCTGGAGCCCCTTAAACACCGCTGCGACTCGGGGCCACGTGCCGCCACGGGACCCTTGTGAGACACTGTGGCCCCTTACCGACACAGGAGCCCCTCATTGTGTCAGGGACCCGAAACATTTCAAATCGCGGGCCTAAGCCTCGTTCCTGCGTGGGAAATTGGTCTCAAGGGCTCAAACGGACAGGGAGCCGACTGTTTGGTGGTCACGTCTCCGGCCGACGTAGACACCCGCTTTGCCTGAGCTACTCCGCAAACTGCAAGAGGTGTATCAGATATTTCAGGTCGCGACCCTTCTGTCCGCGATTCCTTTTGTGACCTACAGCTAGTCCTTCGGGCCCTCATGTCCCCCAACCGGGCTTTTGATCGTCGGTTCCGGTGGGCCGCTGGGCCCCATCTCGGGTCACTTCACATAACATTATCGGCTCGGGGCCCTTGCAAGCACAGGATCCTCCGTTAGGCGCTGTGATCCCCTGACAAATTGAAGCCCCCCCCCCCCCCCCCCCCCAGCCAGTGTAAATCACTGGCCCCGGTTTTAGATAGGTGGTTGGGAAGTGGGCCTCAGGCGCATACGTACACGGAGCCGACATTGCAGTACTGAAGGTGTCTGACCGACAAAAGGCGCATTCCGGCTCAGGAGGTCCCCCATCGGCGCAAAGGGTCCTCTGACTGCTGTTTGAGGGGCCAACCCCGCAGGCCGGGCCCCTTAATCAGACACCGACCAGCCCTTTGTGCCCTTAGACCATCCAGTGGCCATTGATCGTCGGACCCGGTGGGTCCTCTAGGCTTTTGGGGCCTCCTCGAATACTCCCTCTGGCCGGCTCGGAGTCCCCTGCCAACGTAGGGCCCCCGTTAGTGGCCGTGGGGTCCTGAGAGGTGCTGGGGCCCCAACCAATGTAAATCGCTGGCTCCAGCTGTGTTCCTGCCTGGGAAATGACCCGCAAGCCCACACTACCACGGAGACGACTTTGTGTTACTGGTAGTGTCTGACGGACATATAGGTCCTTATCGACTCAGGGGGTCCTGATCAACGCACGGGACCCTCCGGCCAGCATTGGAGTGCCCGGCCCTGCGGGCGGAGCCCCTGAATGTGACCTCCGGCCGGCCTTTTCGGCCATTAATCCGATGGTTCCGACAAGGTTCCGAGAGGTCGAAACTAATCGGGGGGGGGGGGGGGGGAAGCACGTGCCCCTGTGCCTTCCTGCCTGCGCCATTGATCAGCACCAAAATAGGCTAGTAACCTTCTTGTTTCTGGAAGCACTTCGAGGTCTACAACTTCGTGTGGCCCAAAACCAAAAGTTTTGCATGTGTATGTTGCACTCATTCTGAAATGCACTAGTCGATGAATACAAAATGAAAGGTGATATATGAACAGTGGCAGTCTGCAGCAACATTTCAGGCATCTGGCTCATTTTTAAGCCTGATCTCAGCAGGGAAAGGTGGTGGCTTTACTTGGAATTTGGAGTCTTAAAAGAACATTTAGATGGTGTGCAATGATTTAAGGTCAAATGTGCACAGTAGTTTGGGAAGCTGCAGGGATTGGCAAAAGGGGTGTGGAAATAACATCGGAAACATGACTTAATGCCAAAGCTTTTGTAACTTCTGTTCAGCATCCATCAAAACGTTGTGTGTTTCATAGCAAAACGATTTTTCCAGATCGTGCTCATCATGGAGAAGGGAATGGCAGATGCATACATGGCTCAGGCCGCTGGAGATGCGGCATCATCTGCTACAAGATCAGTATTTTTTGACAGAACAATGCTTACATCAAAGGAAGTTCTCTTAAAAATTGCAGAAATGGTAAGCTCTCTCACAAAGTATTTTTCCCAGCGGTGTGTTCGAAAAAAGCATGCATAAAAAGATATGCATGATTTATTGTTTACGACATAAAATATATAATAATATATGCACCAGTACATTGTTCCTTTATCTGGCCACTTGCGGCATGAGGCATGCATATTCATGTGATATGGCGAAGTGAGAAAGCTTCGGAATATATTTGCCTGAGATGTGAATAGGCGTTGATGATCAGTCCTCTCTGACGCAGCGCTTTACTGCTTTCCTGTGTTGAAAGCAGTGAACTTTAAAATTTCGGGTATTTTTTAAGACATCTATTCAACATTACGATTCTGTGGCATCCTTGTTGGTGCAATTTGTGTGCAATACGCTGTTTTGCTGGCATGCGGCCCAATACTCAACACCTCCACTATTAACGACAAGTGTCGCATTTCGACAGAGATTTGTGATTTTCAACAGAGATTTCGCATTTCATGCAGAGCGTCGCCAAAAGCCTCCAGCCCGACCTCAGTCGCGTCACAGCGACCCCGCCTCGTTTCAGGTGGTGTGCGTGATTGGCACCATCTGCGTGGCGTGCGCGAGCAACCCGTATGTCTCCCAAGCGGGTTTCTTCGAGTTCGTGGCCTCGACGGGGATCATAATCGCCATCATCCTAGCCGTGCTGTACGTGTTCCACCTGCGCGAGAAGCTGGCCGGGCTGCTGCGCCTGAATGTCGTGGTGAGTGGACAGGCTGCCACCGGCGCGCGCCACGGCTCGCGTCGTCTGTGTCGCCACGCAGCGGCTGCAAGCGGGCCAGACGAATGTGCCTGGGCAGATATTGAACCGTGCTCTCTCGTCCCATTGGCGGACGCCCGAAGCGTGCGTTCCTCTGCCGGTGCGCGGGCCGCGAGTGCGTCTGGTGCGAGACCTTGACCCCCTTGACCTCCGAGACGAGACCTTGAAGTCCCGGGTGACCGCCTCTCGGGAAAGATATGACAATAACAATTTGAGTGGATGGATTTCTGGGGTCATCTGACCCCAGAAATCCATCTAAGTAGTTCGTGTTTGAGCCCCAAACTCTCTCATCCGATCGTGAAACTCCAGGTCCACTGTAGAATTTGGTTGCGAAAGTTTAACGTACCAGTGCTCAGCACGGTCCGCCCTGCCCTCCGGAGTCACGTGACCTTTTGCGCCGCCGCTCCCATCGGCCGCGGGCCATATCTGTCGAGGGCAAATAGCGGACGCCTCAAGCGTCTCGAACTCCCTCCGCCACTGGTGCATGGATCGGAAGAGAGGCACTACCAACGGAGCTATCGGAACGGACTGGTGGTCCCAGTCCACGCAGGGTGACACCGCAGCCGCAGGACCGAGCGCCTCTGGCCGTATCAGTCGCTACATATGCCTTTTGTTCCACATGAACTATAGTTTGAACAGGCTTCAGTAGGCCTCACGCCGCTCGTCCTGACGTCTGTAGGCGTCATAGGAGGCTCCCATGAGGCTCTGTCCAGCTCACGTGCTTTGCAGGAGATGTTCTACGCGGGCATCTGGTGCTTCTTCTTCTTCGCCGCTTCCACTGCGTGCGTCGTGCACGGCAGCTCCTATATGTACCAGGAGGCACTGATCGCGGCCGGCGTGAGTGTGACCTGATCCGTGCCCGTGCGCGAGGGCAGCGCCCACCAGCACCGCGCGCTTGCGTCCCTGCGGTGCGGCAGTCATGGAAGATGTGGAGCGTCCTCCCACATGCCTGTTATTTAGGGTGGTTAGATTGTTCGAGGGCTGTCACTACGAGGCCAGTCAGTCACCCCGGGCGGATATTCCGGTGTTTGTGTTCCGGCGAAAAGTGAGGCTGCTCATGCGACGGTTAACGTGCGCTCGGGATAGAGGCAAAGGGACGCCATGAAATGCTCATTGTGCGTTTGGTACGATATCTGCAGCTTCGGCAACCAGCTACCTCCGCATAGAAGGGATTCTCGCCGGACAAAATCGGGGAATGGGGCATGATGTGCGTAATGGTGTACGAAGAAATATGCAAGTCATCTTACCGTCCGCTTCCACGTCTATCTTGGGGGGTTCTCGTACTCCGACGTGATAAACCGTTCACATCACTACAGAAGATGCGCACGCAAAGTCCTTTTATACTTAATCTGCAGATAACTACCTCTCGCTAGCATAGCGTGAATGAATGGAATCACTTCGTTTTTCGTACTCTATTGACTCCGTTTGTCCGTTATGTTTGCAGTTCTTCGGCTACATCGCCATGGTGCTGTACGGGATCGACGCGTTCCTCATGTTCCACGCCTGGCGAACGGCCCGAACCATGACCGCCGAGCCGACAACCCAGCAGGTCACCACGCCGGCGTACTAGTGACGCCTCGTCCGGCCGCCCCGCAACTTGTAATGTCGCCGCTGACCTACCAGGCTACCAGTGACGTCACGTCCGATCGTCGCGTACGCTGGCTTCAGACCCTCCGACGCCGTCAGCCCAGCCAATGAGCGACCGCGTCAAGCCATCTAGCGGCGACCGGCATCACACGTGACCTGATGGTGGTCTTGGGTGCGGCATCTGCGTCCCAGTCCCCCGCGCGGTTCCTGCCACGGGCCCGAGACTTGTTCCTCTGGCGGTTTAGCGCCTTCCCCTGTGTTTTTGATTGACACTTAAAGAGTTTGAATAGCGAGTTTATTTGGCGGTTTCGGAGGTCAGTTGCCGGGTTTCCTGGTCGCCCTGTTCGTGAGGGCCATCGGTTATCAAGGTCTCTTAAAGACGTCATAAAACGGCCAGTATAAACCCATGTGCTGTTGGCTGTTGCTCAGGACCGAACCTTGTTTAGCCTCCCGATGGCTGCAATTAACACATTCCATTTTGCAACATTGTTTTTTAGGTAGACTGTTGCGGTCTGTCACTGGTGATTCGTGGCATTTCGTTGCAGATAGCTAGATGCCTACATTTAGCACAGTTGAGAAGCGTTTTTCTCGTGGCGCGGACAGTCTCAAACCGACCAGTAATTGGCGTGTTGCAATACTTTTTGCGCCAAGTAGTGGTGGATTAACAACGGCGTCGTTACTCCATTGGCACTGTGTTTTTTTTGACAGGAATACGACTGAAGGTGCTTTAATCGATCTTTAATCCCTTAGCATTAGTTCGGACCAATGGAAAGTATAGGTCTGCACTCGCGCAATAGTTGACTCGGAATACTTAAGTCAATATTTATGAAAATAGGAATAGTGGGTGCCGAGAACCTATCCGCGGCTTTAAAACAGCGCTTGACATTGAACAGTAATTGCAGCATGCCATGAAATGACTCATGTTATGTGAGCTGACCATTTCTGGCATTGGGGTCATGTGTTGCGGGATGTCCAAGACAGTTTTCAGACAGACAGACAGTATTCAGTCACCTTTCAGTTTGCTAGAGCTGGGGGGGGGGGGGGGGAGGGGGCATCGAAGATTGTCAAAGTCCTTAGAAGTCGGCCTCGGGGCATTCGGGAGTAAGGTGAGGATTTGTCGTGCTCGACCCTCGGCGCATTTTTCTGGACTTCGCCCCGGTCCAAGACTAGTCCATTGAAGCAGCAGTGAGCCAGCATGCAGCGCTGTCAGTCTTGTCGATTCGATTGTTCCATTCCGTAGCTGGACACGCGTGCGTCTTTGGCAGCTTAGAACCGCGGAGGTTCGTAGAATTTGTAGAGTTTGTTTTTTCCCGGCGCTTTTAGGGAGGGGACACGACGGCATTGCCAACGCCCGCGTCACGGGGCGGTCAGTGGTCCACTGCTCCTATCGGAACAGGTGATCGTCCCGCCAGTGGGCGGGGACGTGGGACCTTGTCCCTTCTGGAGATAACTTGTGTCAGGGACGACCTGGACGAGCGGATCCCAGTAAAGATTGGATAAGTGGGCATGCCTGGCAGTGCAGGTTTTCTTCGACATGTGTCGTGCAACGAAATTTTCTGCTCGTAACTTGTGTTTAGAGAAAGCTCCGGGGGATGCATGCCTCGTGTCGTAAAACCCCGTAATTTGGTGAGGGTCGACTGAGTTCGCTTCTTGTCAACCGGATAAAACACCACATGCCAGTCAGGCAGTTGGTTCTTTGTCGGTGAGTTTCTGCCAGTTTTCCTTTTCCTCCACGACTGATGTCAAGTTAGCGCTGTTGGGACCAACATCGTACTGATGATCCAGCTCCCACTTAAATTGCCCTGCCTGAAACGAAGCCCTCGGAAGACGTGCACCGCACCAGGCGGCGGCTGCTCGATTTCTGTCCCCCCAACACGAGCCGCGGGCCCAGATGTCGCGCGGAGTCGCTGGATGTGCCCAGGGGGGCTTTACAACGACCGTGAGCCCTCGCGGGCTCTGCAGTGGGCCTTGAGGATGGGCTAGCCTGCCATACTTATCACGCTGTACTTAGATAGCAACAAGACGTGCGTATTTACTAGTGCTTAGGTTGTCAATGGTTCACATTCTGTGTCAGTCGATGTATAGGAAGTTGCTGTTGTTCGAATCGTGTAGCAGGTACTCGTGCGTATCCTCCAATTCCCGCATGGCCGCTGTGCTATTCACTTGGTCTTTGTCTTTGTCGTTGTAGTTCGGGAGTTTTTCGTACCTTCGTAAGCCATTTGTACCCGCACACTGGACCTAGAGCAGGGTTCTGATTTGAGACAATGTCACAGAGGTGACTGATCATTTGCGGGCAAGGGACCCGCGGTGCTCCCGCCCATGGCCGCCCTGTACCGTTTGTTTACGTGGCTGCTAGTTTACTCCGTGATGTCACGCTCCTATGGCCAGGGGTCTATGCACGCCGTGTGTTGGTCGTATCGTGATTTTGCTCGTGTGGTACACTGTAACGCGAGTCACTAGCCTGTGCGCCTGTGACCCTGTCGTGAAGGTCTCCGCGGGCTCGGCACGAGGGCGCCAGGCCTGCTGGCGCGCTAGTCCGTGGAGCGAGTCGTGCCCGTGATGTGCTGTATGTCGCCGTTGGAGGGCAATAAACGAATCCTCGTGAGGTGAGGCCATGCTGTGTACGAGCGAGAATCGAAGACGGCGCGCGCAGGAGCTTATGTGCCCCTGATTGATGATCAGCTCCCTTGGTGCACTAGTTGGAGAAGAGCACCATGTCGAAAACGCGGCCCAACGCAAGGAGAGGGACGGCGATGCGGCTGATTGGCGTGGCCGGGCGTACAATGCGTGTAGTGGGTATCCAGATAAATGGCCGAAATGCATTTAGCCAAAACGTTTCATCGCGTGCTGTTTTGCCGACGTCTCTTAGTTGCCGCGTCAATAAGGCGGAATGGTGGAAACCGAAGGGCAGTCTGCCGTTGTCCTTTTTTGCCGACGTTTTAGATCGACCAAATTTTCATGAGCCGAAATGCAATTTACCGCGTACCAATTTGCCGAAATGTTCTTCAGTCGAATGCCAAGCTGCTGAAACGTTCTTTCATCGAAAATTGCGTCGCTCCAATGCCCTTTTATCGGGTGTTGGTTGCTGGAATGCATTTGTCTTATGCTGTTAAGCCGGAGCTGTTAAGCTGTTACGTTGAATGCGAATTAGCTGAAAGCCAGTTACCGAAAAGCATGCTAACTTACCGAAATGCTCTAAGCGAAACGCTTATTAGCTGGATGGTGTAAGCCGAGGGCTTATGCAGCGAAATATTGTTCATGAGCTGTGGGCAAAAGCCCTTTGAGCCTCGCTCCGTCGACGTTTTTTCACCGTCGCTCTGCGAGCGCGGGCTTCAGCAACTCCCCCAAAAGATATCGAGAACCAAGAGACCTAAAGCCCCCAGAAAGACGTCATCCAAAAGCCCTCGTCGAACTCCACCACTGAGAGTGAAAAAACAACGGAGAATGTGTGTGAGATGCAAGATCAAGTTCACCTTGTTTTTACAAGAATGCATCATGCCAAGGCAATGCGGTAAACGGTATTAAATAGATCTTGAAAGCCTATTGAATGAGCTCTAGTGGACATCGGCAAATATGACTTGAAATGTCATATTTTGTCAAAGGGACGAAGGCTTGTCCCATTCGCCTGTCCAGCTTTATCAACGTTATGGTATGCAAACGTCATCATTTCAGAATTTTCAGTTGTCCAGCACAAAACTAATTAGGTTCATGAACCGTTCGACGAATTCACATGCATCTAACTGTAGTTCATCACATTCACATTTCCGACAAAAAGGCATTCAGCTAGTGAACCATTCGGTGACTTTCCAGGCGCTCAATTGCCGTTCGTCAAATTTGCTTTTCGACAAAAATATGTTCGGTTTATTGAACACGCGACTTCCCATGGCTAATCTTCATTTATCTAAATCCCATTTCGGCATGTCGACGTTGATCTACTTAACAATCCGGCTAATGCAGATTTCGGCTCCTGGCATTTAGGCAATTTGCGCGGCGCCAAAAGGACATGTCGTCAATTTGCACGTTACAAAGGTGGCAAAGAGCAGAAACAAAAGGTCGGGGTTCTCACAATCAGCGAAACATCACCCAGTTAAATGTTATTTTAGCAAACGTCCTGAGACTAATGTTGGGTTTTCGCCACACGGCTAAGCATATCAAAGGCTGGAGGAACGTAGTTCGTAAAATGAGTTGGGGGAGGCTGAACAGTGGAGAATAAAACAACTTACAACAAAATACGTCAACACACGGGTTGCTCCCGCATTCGGCACACTTTCTTCACAAGGTTGGGGAGTCCAAGTTAGAGGGCTAAAGCCCAGCCAACTTGGGCTGTAAGGAGCAGAAGTTAATGCCCATGTTGGCTGATAGTAATAACCTTATCAGAAGCCCACCTCTAAAAAAATTGGGCTTAAATCTCAATTATGCATGGTTTATGGTGGGATAACTGGATCATAGTTGTCTGAAGACATTTCTGAATATCATGTAGGCGTGCAAACATTTCTGCTGCATTGAGTAGATCCATGTAATGGTTTTTCATGAGGTTATAGCATGTTTAACAAGACATGGATGGAATGCTTTTGCTGACACTGGTGGCTGGGCACAAAAACTTCAGAAAAGACATACAATATGTAATGGGTTTTTATTTGGTGAAATCAAACCTTGTGATGTATTAACTGTTATTGGGTCAACAGCACCTAGGGAGCTGAAGTACAAATACTTCTTATATAAAGAGGTAAAGGAGTATTCACACATTGGCTACCACACAATAAAAAACCCTGGAGCCTTACCATGCCACCTCCACATATAAATACTGATGAAACTCAGTTCCTGTGGAGGTAACATTGTCATAACAACAGCCTACCAAAATCAGGCACATTTAGTTAAGCAGGCAAAGGGGTCATGACAAAACCCAAATCCAATGGAGTTAACATCGCCATAACAAAAGTCTACCATATATGGACACACCAAAGTAAAGCAGAGAGGTGGGTCACTTCTTTCCCCATCTGCGAGTGCACCAGACACGCTGGGACAGGTCACTGACGTTACTTGCTGCCAGCAGAATCTTGCATGGTGGATTCACCAGTATTGTTCTTCAATGCATACAGTGGCATTCCCATAAACTTGGGCAGCTCATCCTTGGTTGTTGATGGCTGTTTACTGGCACTGTTCCTTCTCTTGAACACGAAGGACGGGGCCCTGAATGGACGATAAACTTTGGGCTTGTCCTTCTGGTACTTGAAGGCCCCTTGTCCTGGGAGGCATGCAAATCCTTGAGGGTACAAATATCTGTACAAAAAGAACCATGCCATGATGGCAATTATGCCTCCACACATCTTCTGCACCATTGTGTGGAAGTACAGGATGGTACCAACCAGCATGACGTCCCACAGGATGGACAGCATGGTGAGCAGGACAAACAGAACCTTGACATGGGGAGTGAACTTGACATAATCAACCTTCATCTGCTCATAATCTGAATCCATGACATGCTGTAATGGTGTGTCATCCACTTCATCTTTGTTTGGCGCCTTCCTCGCAAAGTCTTCATTTCTGATCATGTCCTTGATTCCCTCCCAGCCACAAATGGCCTTTGCCTCTTCCATGATGAACAGACTATTGAAGATCAGAATGAATGCATGCCCAGATATTTCCAATCCAGACCACTTAAATCCAGCATCAAGGCAGGCTTCCTTGGAAGTGTATTTTCCAGCTTTGGTGCGGCAAATGCCTGTTACGCCTTCAATGTACACAAACATGCTTGTGAACACGTACCAAGCAATGGTTGCACAGACCAGCCTTGTGATGTGCTTCTGCATCCTGGGTCTCTGCCTACAGCAGTAAACATTGGCTGTCAGCATCATGAATGAGCCCACCACTACAAAGGTCCACCCCCAGCCAAGCTTGACAAAGTACTGGTTCAGCATGTTGTGCTTGTTGGAAAAGTAGCTTTTTGGAAGCACCAAGAGATCACCCACTGTTGAACCAACAAAAAGGAGGAAAAGGTAAAGCCCAATCTTCATTTCTGTATCCACAAATAACACCTTCCGGCACAAGTGAATGATCACCAGAATAAAAATTTGCTGAGGTGATGCTTGATCTGGCACAGGCTTAGTACCAGTTTGAGAGTGGGCAGCAGAAGAAGGCCGGAATTTCAAGCCTACAGCTGATTTTGACCCAGACCTGTTTCCTTTGTGTGCCATATTGCTGGCTTCACCTCACTTCCTCCGAAATTCTTGCTTGAAATTAGTCAGACTTGAACGCCTTTAGAAAACGACAGACTTACGCTCTTTTTGCGTTCACTTCCGCGCTCTCGTCAGGAAAGCTAAATGATGACGACACCTGGCTATCAATTGCAAATAATGTCCTTTTCTGGACCACCCGGCATACGGCCCTTGGCACGGCCCTCTCCCAAACTCAGTCCAAGGTCCTAGACCCAGTCTTTCCGCTCCGAAATGCTAGGCTTGCGTTTTGCCTCGTTATGATCGTAACCGGTGCGCACGTTAAAGTACGGCTCCCTGTTAAACGATCACCAAAATGAGCTCGAAATAACCAAATGAACACGAGCACGCATATAACATGAATCACAACCAAATGAAGCGTTTCATCGTCTTTTCCTGCCAGTATAAGCGCTTTCACCACCAGTTAAAAGAATTCATATATCGCAATGCCTACTTACGTCATCAACTGTGCAAAGATGTCCAGAAAGAGCATTATCTACCAGATCAGCTCAGTTTGCACTAGATAGGTCAAATGAATCACTAAAATATAACGGAAATGAAAATTCGTACCGTAATCTAGGATATTAAGCCCAACAGAAAAAGCGGCCATATTTTAACCTATAATGGCATCGACATGCGAATGGCGCCACCATTCAGGTCGCGATTAGGCCAGTGGCTTGCGCGATCATCGGGGAGAATATTAAGGGCCCGATCACAGAGCCCGGAGGGCTGATCGGAGGATGACTCCGGACCGATGGTCTGACCCTCAGCCAAAGAGGTTCGTTGCGCCTACCGGCGGGAGTACCGGGACGACGAAGGCCTCGATCTGGGTCCGAGACCAACAATGCTGTGCAGCTGGCTCTGAGTCGGCCCGGGCCCTGGGGGCCATTTATGAAGCAGGAACAAGGCCGGGGCCCGTGATTGTTACTGGAGGCTTCCTGCGTTGGCCGGGGACCCTGAAGCATGGTAGCTTCCTGTGTCGAGGCTCAGCATGCTTAACAAGGGAGCGTTTGCAGATAGGGGCTTCTAGTCTGTCGGTGGCATTTTCTGCTGAATAGGAACAGGACGCGACTCGGATGTCGGAGACCCACTTGCTTTCCTCGATGTCCTCTTACCTGACATGAAATGGAAATAACAAATAATAATGCGATGGTCCACAATGAGACAATAGAAGGGTCCTACTAGTCATGGGCTCCAGCACCGACTATGAGGCCCTTAGGGTCCTGCGTCCGGGCTCTAAAACGAACTCGGGGCCTCTTGAGCCCGGGGCCCGATTACCTTAACTGCGGTTCATGCTGTGGTCCATATACGTGCATGGCTGACAAGGGTTGGACTTTCATATATATTGGATATCATGTATATTGCATATATATATATATATATATATATATATATATATATATATATATATGTGTGTGTGTGTGTGTGTGTGTGTGTATGTGTGCATATTAAATATCATAACTTTCCTCCAAAGCTTTTTGATTCGATGCTTTTGAGATCAGAGCTCACGCAAAACAGGGTTGTCGTCTACGTGCTCTGACTCAGCCTTCTAATCGTGAAATTCCAAATATACGGCGTTCTGCGGTACTTTGACCTCCCTTACATTGGACAGCCGCTGCTACCGGCCACAGACCATCAGACCACGCCGCAAACCAAATCAGAGGTCAATTGGCGAGCGCATAGAGACGCAGCCAAAATCGAGAATGCGGGGCCTTCCCCCACTGTAGCGGTGGACTATGCCCCGGGTCAGTGTGTCAGCATGTAAGGCGAGTGGGGCGATGACTCGTGTCTGAGTGAGGAGTACAATCACGGCTCACGTGTCTGAGTACAATCACGGCTCAGGGCGGGGCGTCACGGTCACGGAGAAATCGCAACAAGTCGCTGAAAAACGCTGGATAAATCGCCAACTTCACGGACATACCATAAGCGGCTGCAGTGGAAACCTAGAAGATGTATGTGAGCTACGCAATTCTCCGGCAGCGTGCTATCGGTACGATTCATCGACATCGTAATAGATGATCATTTTTGCTCACTGTTGTTATCTTTTGATAAACAAAAAAAAAATTTGGAGCCAGGCGTACAAGCCATAATAGAGCTGCGGGGTAAAAATATATGAAATCTCTCCCGTATAACATTTGTCACTGTACATTCACACATTTATACACTGATACATTATATGGCCGTTTGGTCTAGATGATATTATGCACTTTGCTGAAAAGAAACTACGACACGGTGATCATATTTGTTTTTCGCCGGTATGGAGCAACCGACGATGGAGAGCGAAGGATGATAGCCATTTGGTTTATGTAATTTCAGTCAACGTTCAAAGGGCCAAGGTCGTGGGTGTCAGCCCCTACCCCCACCCACGGTTTCCGCGCCCCCATTACGGTGGTGCAACTCAAGACGCGTGAGAAGTCTTGCAAAGCAAAGATCATTTACGAGAACGCCAGGGATTCAACCCGTGATTTCTCATCCTTGCTTTTTTATTCACGAGTCGTGAAGGCTTTGCGACCTCGTAACCCTATTACCAATTGATGGCGCCGCCTCTGCACACCTTCACATTGCGACTCAGGCTCGCGGGATCTGTGAACCGGTAATTTGCTTATGCCAATGGACCAACCCTCTCCAGCGAAGGTAATTGTTGACACGTTCACCATGAACAGTTAAGATTTAATTGGGCGCTAGGGTCTTGGCAAAACAAAATTGCGTTGGCAAAGGACGTTTGCGGTACTACATCCCAAATATTTGTATATAACATATCCAGTCAGCTAGATTACGAACGACTGCAATATCGCTTATGTAGACTGACCCCGGCTGAGGGAATCAGCATGCATTATTCCAGAATGATGTCCCACGTCTTTTGCTATCGGAGCAACGCTTACCGTTCATTTTACGTCCTTCCTGGTTGAACTGACTCCCTCCGGAACATTCCTGACTTCCAAAACATCAGACTGGAGAGGTACAATTCATCAAGAAGAGAATGCGGGCAACGGTGTATGTGCCTTTTAGGTAATCGTCACAGTGAGCATCTCCAGCAGCAAGCACACTTTCAAGACACTGCACCTGTGGATGCTGTTGGTGGTAGGCGGCACGCTTACAGCTTGTTTTAGTGTAGTGCAGTCAGCAAAGTTCTGTTGTTTTAAACGTTAAGACTTCGTAGAAGGTATTGCCTTCGCAAGCGACTCTCACTCTGATTACCCGGCAATTTCGTTGTGGCGTGCTCGATAATTAAATGCGAGCACAAGGACAAATACCTACGACACAAATCCATTTATTTGCGACATGCAACCACGTACAACACTCACAAGCTGTTAATTTGTTGCAAAAATTAAGTCATCACTCGGCCTTCACCGATGGTCTCTTCTCGTACTAGCTGTCTAAAGACGGCTTGGTGAGAGGGTGGCATAACGTAAAGTGTGAATATGAAACGCAGCAATTGAACGCGGAGCCAAAGATCCTGTGACACACGATAGGCTGTAAATAACGTTTCAATACAAATGCGCGCATTGCATGAATGATATAGGCAGCAGAACGGATAAACGCATCACGAGGAAGGAAGAAAGTTGGGGCCGAAAACTGTGGCGTTGTGTTCAGGAAACATTGGGCGCGTTTCATTTCAACTATCGTACTGCCAATAGTCGAAATCCTGTTCTATGATTGGTCGGGCGTCCATGATGGATTCGTGACGTGAAGGGTGTGACGTCACACTTGTCGACTACTGGACTGGCAAAACCTTTTAACATCTCGGTAGTCGGCGGGGCATCCACGAACATGGCGGCGCGCGGGGCAGGCGACATGGCGTTAGTGCTTTGGATCTTTTAGTTAATGTGGGTGCTACTGGGGATTCAGCGGGACATTATTTTTTTAAGCCTGTGTCTTGATGATAACCTGTCTCTGGATGACTCCTGTTCTCATTGTAACATTTCACTTGGAAGCAGTTTCAGTCACTGCTGTAAGGACTTTTGGAATGCACATAGATCACAAAAATGTTGTATTTCCTGCCAGCAAAAAACACTTTGTTCACTGCCCTTCAGACCTCCACAGCATTGCAAAATCTACATCATGCTGACCTACAGCGAACACCACAACGAAAATACCATAGACACTGCAACACAGCCAGTGATCATCCAGCAGCACCACCAGCCTTGCTACAGCACCCAAAGCCTTTCCACTAGCTCTTTACGCACCACGACAGCGGATGGTTCAACGAGTACCGGATTTGCATGTTCCCGCAGTACTCCAGCTCTCAGTCGCATCTCTTCATCGGCATATACACCTTCAGTGACCTCATTTTCACCATCCTCCTTCCAAAAGCCATGCTCCTGAAGTGAAATGTTGTGAAGTACACAGGCTGCCACTATGAGCTTCGCAACTTTCTGAACTGGCTGAGCTTCCACACAGGAGAGACGCCGAAATATTGCCTTCAGAATGCCAAAGGTTTTCTCCACAACCACACGTGTGCTTGAGATCAGATAGTTGTACTTCTTTTTCTTTTCCCTATTTTCTGCCAGTTGATTTTCCCGAAATGGTGTCATGAGCCAACTCTGTAGTTCAAAAGCAGAATCACCAACAATGAAACCATTTTGTGGCAGGATTGCATGTCTAGTGATGGGGTCTGCCAGCCTCTTACCCAGGGTACTCTTTCTAAACACACGTGAGTCATGAACTGACCCTGGCCACCCCACGCAGATGTCCGTGAACTTGTGGGATGAATCACAGAGGGCCATCAGATTAACTGAGAAGAAGCCCTTTCTGTTGATGTATGCCTCAGGATGATTATGAGGCTGCAGTATTCCCACATGACACCCATCCAGAGCACCACACACATTGGGGACCCCCTTCAGCGACCTGAACCCCTCCATCACTTGTGCCATGCTTTCCAAAGGAGGTATGTTGATGAACAAATCCCTCATTGTGACCAGGTCTTCAATAACTTCATCCACAAACCTCCAAGCAGTGCATGTTGCCAAACCAAAGAGCATTGCCACTTTTCTGAAGCTGATGATGCTTCCTAGGTACCAAAGAGTGAGGAGTGCTTGTTTCTCTCTGGGATAAGGTTCCCTCCCCTGTCCAGAGGGATTCTCATCCCTTTCCCCCAAGAGTCCAACAATCCTCCCGACCGTGCCCCTCTTCAATCTGAACTGTTCAGCGTACTGCTCGTCCGTTAGTAGTGGCACTGTTTTTTCATAAAAGTCTTCATTTTTTTTCCAATCTCCTTCGGTCCCAAACTTCCCTGCAACATGTGGAGTATTATTAGATTGGAAAATTAACACCAGCAGGAACAGGTAAGGTCTGCAG